TGAAGATAGGTTTATCTTTTTTATCTTCAGTTGGATGACACAAAAATGGAGCACACATGACATGGAAAGTACAACAAAAATGTTTTCAAGCCATCATGGTAAAGGGTGATAAAAGGATCACTTTCATTGCCAACAGAGCAAATTTCTTCAGATTAATTTAATTGCTCTACCACAACAATCTTCTGCTACAAACCGAGAAATATTTTTCAGGCCACTTTGCAAACCAGTTCTTACTCAAAAGAAAAACAGATTGGTCCATTCTCCTCACATTTGCAGTCAGACGCCATTATATACTCCTGGGCCTAAAAAAAGACTTATCTAATGATGGAAAGTAGAATAAGAACAGTCAACAGGTGTCCATTAGTAGGTTTAGTGAATTTAGCATAGTTCTAAACTGTTAAGGACAATCTGTTGTTTCATGTGCCCTTGACAACATCCAGTGAATGAAGAATCTGTAAATATATTTGGCAGTTCATATTAGTACTATATAACAACTGCATTTGAAACTTAACTTCTATCCTATCTAAATTAAGTCCCTTTTTCTGCCCTTTAAATTCATTTAATCATACTGACATGATAAAAAAAAAAGAAAAAACATTCAGAGAGAATAGAAGTGAATATATTTAATATATTTTACTGACCAGGAAATGAATACAAAAATTTCCAGTAGGAGACATAATTAAATTTTTTTAAAATAGAAGTTAGTATTCTAAATATAGTGCTTTGTAAGACAAGAGTGAGTGCATTATTTGGACACTTCTATGTCTGTATTTTTAAGTTTTGTTACTGTAAAGAACTTCCTCTCTCAAAAAAAAATACATTCAGGAAAAATGGCCTTCTCTAGTAAAGCTCTAATGACTGAAGTAGAAATATCATTTGTGACAAGTGACAAGTTTATAATTTGTAACTGTGACTTTTAGTCACAGCATAAAACATCAATTGTTTGCAGATGCAATAGAAAACTCTGCTGTAATAGAGAACATATTAATACATTCCCACTTACAGCCAGAGAGACACACTACACCTAGGCAAGAAATCTTCACTTCTGAAATGGAATGCCATTTCTGTAAATTACTTATTCCACACTTTTTTACTCCAAGTTTGTTTCCTGAATAGTGCTAAATACCTGTCTTATGAACACAAGTAAGTGGTCCTCAATTTAGTAGGACAAAAGGCTCTAGTGATGAAAAATGAATACTTTAAGTGAAGATCTGTCATATAATGTGATTACCCTTGTCTGAAAGAATGTTTAAACTTACATCTGATTTGTACTGAAAGTGTTAGAAAGAAGTGTTTTTACTATTTTCTTGATTATTTATTATTAAATTTGAAGTGGTTTAGGGAATAATGGAGACTAATTTAACTGGAATCTTTTGCATATTTATGGAGGTAATGTCTCTTCTCTGGCCATACAGTGGAGACGTGTTCACTAATGTCATTTGACATGGCTATCTCTTCTCTGGTTAATACCAGAAGTGGGGTGTGAGAGTCTGGAAAAAGCTTCAGGTTCCCCCTGCAGTTTATGCTGTAACAGCCTGGATATCTGCACCATCCTGTTCTCTTCCTTGCAATCTGATTTCTTTTTGGTCAAGCACTCCTCTTCTTGTTCAAGAATAAGATTTAAGAACCAGCGAAGTCAATATGTTTTATGACTAAGTAAAATACTGTAGGGAATGTTGCAAATTTCAAAAGATTTCCCTATAGTCCATAAAGCCAGAAAAGGCTTGTATGACTCTTACAGGCAAAGTGCATAAAATCAGACAGAATATCAGAACTGATAGGCTAAGGATGCCGAAATCCTTATCTAGCTTCCCTTGATGTTTAGTTTGGAGATATGTTACAATAAAAATTGAGACTGATTTTTACAATCACGGCACAGAATTTTTTTCTTTTTTAATAACTGATAAAACAATTTTCAAAATTCTTTTTAATTCCTATTCTCAGACTAAATAATAAACTTGGTGTAAAAAATTTTGTACTATATAAATATCTGGATTTTAAACTAAAATTTCTCTTTCTTGGGATTCTTCATAATTTGAAAACCAAACATTTTTGAAGACTATTGTAATACACTGTTGAAGTCTCTGACATCTTTGAACTACTCTACTTTGAAACAGGAAGCTGAAATTAAAACTGCACTTGCAGAAGTATTTACAGAATAATTGTTAATTATCCTCTCCAGACTGATATAAGCACTATAGAGAGAAATTTCTTTTTAACAGTCTAATCTGAGACTTTTAAAATTAGTTGCAATTCGAAGCATTTCTCTGCAGATGTTTCTTCTCCACAGCCTGAGCTCCAGTTTAGGAGACCTTGAACAGGTCTACACAAACTTTCAGTTTTTAAACCATGGCCAACAGATATTTAAGTCAAAAAGCCTTGTTAGAGAGATGCTTGTCTTCCAGATGATATTAGCCTTTCCATATGTGGTGACGGCAGCACTGCATCACACTTATCCTTCAGTTAATAACATGTTGATGTCAAAACAACAGTTATCAGCATTTTATTTTGTGTTCCAGGGCATCTCCTGTTTCAGACTGCTATGCTGCTTGAACAGCAACAGAGATAAACTGTTACATATACAGAGTAATCTGTGCTTTCTCCCAGAAAGATGTATCTAAATGTTCAATGGGCAAACATACATATATAGCTTCACAGTCCGCCTTGGGCTAGATAAGGTATGCTTATGAACCCAGGACTTTTTAAAAGTAGCTTGTATAAGAAGAACTACAAATGAAAGGAATACATTGGTAAATGAGGGAAGAAAAGAACATTCAGAAGTATTCTACTCTGTTGACCTGGTATCTTTCTATTAAGAGAAGAATAATTCCACTGTGCTCAATGACAGTTTATTGCTTTTTTTTACAGATGGAGCTTCATTCATTGCTATTGAATAACTTCTGAGTCCAGCTGAGAAAACCAAACATTGTCAGGTCCTCAAGTGAGAAGCAGAGAACACAGAAATACCCATGCACAAATATAAATGCAGTTTAAAAGTGGGTGTGTAGTTTATAATAATTATGTTTTGCTTCCTGGTCACTGAAGATGTGAATGATGAGAAGTACAGAAAGGGATTTGGAGGAAAATCTCTATCTCTGCTTAATTCTGGCAAAATAAATCTACGTAGAAATAATTCAGAAATAGTAAAAGAGAAAATACCATAAGAGCCTCCTTGTAATGCATGTAATACAAATGGTGTAGACATCTGAATGGGCGTTTCCTTGACCTGGAATGTTTCTGTGAGGGGACAGCAATGTGTGACCACATTCCCCAAATGCTGGAGCAGGGCTTGCCCTGGGAGCAATTTTTGCCAAAATGATATACAAACTTACTTCTTTTACTCTGAAAAAGGATTCTTCTGATAGCTCGATTTTTTGGCCTTTTTTTGTTCATTGTAACTTACCTTAATAAACTGCAAGTAGTGATTTGTATGTCTAGCTCTAAAGCATACTATGTTTTCAAATTGTTTTTTACTTTCTCTTGTCTTATATTATTTAACAAATACTTTTGTAGGTGGAAAAAGCAACAACAAAAACAAGGACAACAACAAACTCAGTGCAGCACCCCTTTTTGTTGCTGATATTCTTCCTCTGCTAAAGAAAGAGAAATGTTTTCCCTGTAGTGACACTCCTTTGGTATAAGTGCACTATATTAAAATATACTGCCATGTGATGTTCTAAAAGCACCTCAGTAAAGGATATAAAGTTATTTATAAAATCTACATTAAATTAGACAACCTATGTAAATTACTCTGTCATAATGTTTGCATTTTCCATGGAACGATAAAGAAAATAAAAGTCCATAGGAAAGCAAAAAATACTTGGCATCCAGAGCAATTTACTACTTTGGAAAAAAAATCCATATTGTGCCTTGTCAGCACAAATTCCTCTCTTTGCTTCCAGAAGTTCAAAGTCAAAAGGCAAGGTTGAAGATAGAGATTCAGGTTTTGTGTACTGAACCCTAAAATAATTTTAATGCAACAGTCTAGGTATTTGATTAGTCTGCACTATTATAATTTATTTCTGGACATTATCACTTGCTAAATATTCCCATCACTTCAAGCAAACCTTCACAATAATGCTTTGATAAACCTCATTGCTTGGCTAAAGGAAGCTGCTTTGGATGCCAGCTCACAGCGCTGCTTTACTTCACTTGAGGCCTGCCAGAGAGAACTGCTTAAGAAGCTGATTTTTAAGAATGCCTGAGCAGTCAGAGCAACCCTGGAGACCTGTGAGCACTTAGGTCTTGTAAAATGCAAGCACAAGAGACAAAGAATTGAATCTGTACCTCCATATTGTGTTTAACTATGTCAGAGAAATTAAAGAGTTCTTTGACAAAGTAGCTTGTATTTTACGTGGGTATAGCTTCAGCCATTGCCCTCACACTTCCCCACAACATTTAAATATACTATGTTTCATTTATCAGTTTTTACACCACTAAAAATATCTAAGAAACATTCAATACAGCTTTATTTTCAGACTAATTTCAGGTTTCAGCACTGCAAACATTAAGAAAGTTCTTACTCTTCTTGTCAAGAATGTTCAATTCACAAACTATCACTGTATCAAAGTATCACTACTTAGACATTCCTGCAATTTAAAATTTCTCTGATGGAAATCTCCACATCATCTATTTTCTCCAGATTTAACAATGACACCAATTAAATTTTAATGTGTACAGATTTTCAGTAATTTAAAAAATCTGACTGAATATGGATATTGCTGAAGTTTTGCATATTGTAATAAATTATTTATTATTTGGCATACAATCTATTCCCACTATACCCTCCAAAAGGAATTATTAAATAATAATATTAATAATAAATATAAAAATATAATATAATATAATAATAATTATTATTATTTTTATCAGTTAGATCACTAGTTCAAAAACAGATACGAAGTCTCTTCTTTAAGCTATCAAGCTTCAAGATCTTTAATTCATACTAGAATACCTCCAAATCACAAGGAGATTTTTCTTTCTTCTATGGCTTTTCTTACCATAATGAGGAATTATTGCCCAAGCCATTGCGGAAGCGTAGATGCCACCAATCATCCAAAACATGCAGAGCCAGCTCAGGTGTTCACCTCGTTTCTCCCGAGCAAGCACTTCCGAAAAATAGGAGAAGACTGTTGGCATAGCTCCACCGATCCTACAAGGAGATACAGATAATGGATTAAGCAAGAGAGTTACAGCTAGATAAAGTTTGAACAAGCCTGTAGCAGCAGTCATCACAAACCTCAAATACAAGCACCTTCTCTGGCAAGTGGTTTTTTTTAAATTGCACCATATATTGGAGAACTCTAGAGAAAACTTTCATAAGTGTTTGGATGTAATTTTTTGTCAAATATTTCCTTGAAAATTCTATGTACTATTTATTACATTCAGTGTTTCAAGGGAATTGTCAATGTGTCAGTCACTGGAACAGAAACCAGTGTGAAGTCTTGACTTTCACCGTTACAAAATCATGGCGGTCTACTGACAAATGCCAAAATACATTGCTTCTAATGGAAAAATATTACTCATTTTCCCAAAGTGTAATGGGTATTTTTCTAAGTCTTACCTCCCATTATTTAGGTAACCAAGAAATAACGAAATGTCATTAGGATTTTTTTTACACAAAATTCAAAACATATTCTACTCAATTGGACTACATGAATAGCTAAGTCCATGCTGGCTTTTTACTTAATTTTTTATGAAAAGCATTTGCATTAATATAATATTCATTTTTTTCTTATGGTAAAATAATCATTGTCTGAAGGTCAGTTGCACAAAAAAAAAAAAGAGAAGATTCAACTTGGTTTTACAAAAATTAAAGTAACTCAAAATATGTATCACTTTTGGTACCAGTTTCCAAGTCATCTTTTACTATCTTTATCTGCTCACTACGTATGCAAGCTGCCTAATGTTCTACATCACAACAAGTGCTTGTGGATTTTTTTTTTTCCAATGTAGAAAATACCTTCAGATTACATGCAACATATGGCATGGTTTGAATTTATAAGTGAATTTTAAAGATAAATGCATATTTATGTGTCATCTGGCAGCTGCCAAACTGGAAGCAAACAGCAAACCTCAAAACAGTTTTAAATAGATATTAACAAGGGAAACATGAATACAGAAATGGTATTTCACCACTAAGAAAGTTCAGTGCCACAGCCATACAGTTTATTTTAATATATCTTCATGTAATGTTATGAAGTATTGGGTTGAGCTTATACAGGGGATTGCTGTTTTCTCTTTTCCTTTGTACAGGTCTTCACAGAGTCATAGAACGCTTTAGGTTGGAAAGAACCTGAAAGATCAGCTGATTCCAACCCCTTCATATGGGCAGGGGCACCTGGGACACCTTCGCTAGACACAGCTCCATCCAATCTGGCCTTGAACATTGCCATGGATGGCACGACATTCCTCAATACCCTGTTCCAATGCCTCACCATCTTCACAGGAAAGAATTTCTTCTTAGTATCTAACCTAAACCTGCCCTCTTTCAGTTTGAAGCCATTCCACATTGTTCTATCACCACACACGATTGTAAAAAGTCTCTCTCAATTTTTCTCACAGGATCCCTTCAGGTACTGGAGGATCCAATTAGGACATCCTGAAGCCTTGTCTTTTCTGAAATACTGCTGGTCAATATTTAGCTTTACAACGAATCTTTTGCATAGTTGAATCTGCTAGCTATTAAAGGCTCTTCTGGTAATGCAAAGGTTTACACCTCTAGGAATTCCTGTTACATACACAGCTAACAAGGTGTATCCCACTTCTTCTCATGGGCCGAAATACTTAAAGCCTTCACTAGGAAACTGCCCTGTCACAGGCAACAAAGGACAATGTCCTTGGAGCTTCCCCTAGGCTGAGGAAAAATTGAGGGGGCATGGCCAAGAGTAGAACCACAACTCATTTTCCTGTGATGGGGAAACCCTGCTTTTATGGATTCAATGCTCTCCAGTTTCATAAATATAAAAGGATTACTGCTATGATATAAACCCTCCAGGGTGCAGAGATGGCTTTGAATTGCACTCCCACATTGTTCCAAATAGAGTACTCACGGTTGTAATTAGAGTTTCTTTTCTAAGGTCAAAAATTTACCAGTAGAACCAGAAACAAGATCTTCTTCTTTCCTGACAAAGATGAAAAGTGCTGATAAGGAGTTATAGGTGTCCGCTTTCAAGGAGACCTAATTTAATAGGTTGCTCATGGCATCCATTGGGTGGATGTTTCAAGTTGAGAAAATCTACCTTGTCTTAATGCCACAAAATGAAAAGAACCTGACCAAAAGTAGCTAAAAAGGCACCTCCCACCTGTTAGCATGAATCAACTATATAATGGATGATGAGAGGTAAATGCTGCTTTAGCCATTAAAACTGATCCAGATGGGTTGACATATATGCTACATCCTAAAGGTTCTCCAAAGCTACAGAAGAAGCCCTGTCCAAATCAATAGGGCAACTTGGCTAGCAAATAGACCCTTTATACATGTAAAAGGAATTCTGGAGCCAGAAAATAAAAATGTTTACTTAGGATATGCAAATAAGCAAGAAAAAATAATCAGCAATGAAAACTCACAATTCTTCTGTTTCAACTGATTGGTTTATTTGGCGCTTCCAGTGAGTACATCAACAGGCTAAGAAATTCTTTAAAGTCCAGATAGTGTGTTTGTATTGACTAAACAGTGAAAATAACCAGTCTAGAGTTTAAAGGAGAAATACAGGATGTACTTTCATCATTCAGAAAACTGCTGCTATGGAGAGTTGTAGGTGTTTGTTTCACAGCAATGGTGTAGTAAAGTGAGTTATGTGCTTTTCTGCACCTTAAACCTCTGAATGGAAAATTTGCTTCTCAGCTGGTTAAACTCGTCCTTCTAGCCTCATAAAAGTACAGAGTATTTTAGGATGCTGGTACATATGAAGCTCTTATATCATAAAGCTACTACAAGGACTAAAAATTGATTATGAAAATCTTAGAAAGGCTAACCAACTGCAAAACTGAAGGAACAAGGAGGAAGATGGAGAGGAAGCATCCTCCTGCAGAAGACTGTTCTTTTGCTCTTAATGCTGGACAATCTCAAAGTGGCAGTAGCCATGTCTCAATTCCCTAAAACTTGCTCCTAAATGCAGAGGAAGTGACAGCAGGAAGGGAGAGTAGGAACAGCTACTATTGTTCTCACACCAAACAACAATGAGAAATAGTCTTAAAAACTCAATGGACCTTGAGAACTCTTCTAAGGAGCAAAGAAATTTCTTCCCAACTTGCAGAAGTTTTAACTTGTGCTTGGTACTACAGTCATTTTCTATCATGGAACTAACATGGTGTCTGGTATACTGAACATTGCTAGCAGAAGCATAAACTACCTCTCCAAGACTGGGACAAGAGAAGATCAGAGTATCTCCAACTTCTTCCATCACTTTCTTGTGAGGATTTTTCAGATCTTTCAGCCACTACTGCTATTTATGAATTAACTTATCAAAAGTTCATATTTAAAGAAATCCACCAATAAATCATGCAACAGGTGCAAAGAAGAACACAATTGTAACAGTTTTAAAAAAGAAAACTTTGGCTAGATCCCATCTTCAATTGCACTCATACAAACCCTTAATAATTCAGTGCGTCCAGGTGAGCCCTTCCATATTTTTAGGGAAGGAATAAAATTTGATTCTCAACATTTTTGTATTGTAAGTTTGAAAGCAACTGTCTTCTTGTTGCCCACCAACATTTTGTGAAATGCATGGTGGCATGTACAGGAGTGAATTTCAAGTAAAATTAAAAGCAGAACTGCCTCAGTAGGAAGACTTCATCTTTTGTTTTAAGGGAAATGCAAATGCTATTTTCCCACAGGTTACAGTGTTAAGTCTGCTTCTGGCAAAGAATTGGTATTATACAGTGGGCTCTTTACTGTTACTGTGTTTGTAAATTATATGGCTCATTGTCACTTGCAGAAAATAATTTGATATGTGAAACTACATTCTTCTCTTGATATGTCTCCCTGTGCAGATAAAAAGCCCATGAAAATTGTGGGTTGACTTGAGAAGACTATTCATTCTAAAAATGGGAAGGAGTTTAACTTTCCTAAACACAAATTATTCAAACAAGCTGAAGCTTTAATATCTCATCTCTTATTCATTTCTGTTATCTCTTCAGTTATCCTAACCAAAGCAGCGGATGTAAACATGTTACCCACAGATATCAGAGAGAAGTCCATGCACTACTTCCTTCTGGGTCATGAATAGTATGTATCTTGTTAGTATGTACAAAAACTAAGTACTTTTTTTCCTATCTTCCTTCACAGATAAATTATGTGGAGTCTGAACATTTTTTAGAGGATTAAAAACCCACAGATCTAAGCCTCTGGGATGATGATCATGAGTGATATCTGTCTCCTGAATAACACATTCTGTAATGAGGCAAAATCTAATACCAACAGGAGGCAAAACTTCATTGAGCTTGGCCCAAAATCATGAAATAAGTTCTCTCACTCAATAAAAATCAGACTTTTCATGTGAAATAAAAGGACACATGCCTTCAGCCTTGATTTTTTTTTGGTAAATATGTAGGAATATATGAAAGAACAACACTAATAAAATAGCAGGAACCTGGAACCTTTTGCTACTGCACATATTGCTTATATGTGGGAGAATACCATAAATGTCAATCAAAAGAACAATAAATAATGATCTTTTTCAGTTATTCTTCATCTTATGTAATAAACCCCATCAGAAGTAGGCAAAGCAAGAGAGAATGCATATTTATGTACACTCTCAGTTCAGGTTTGTTCTGTGCAATTGTGAGAAAGGTGAAACCAAAAGGAGATTTAAGGGGTGCACCTTAGGAGAGTGGGATTCAGTGAAACAAACAATAAGCTAAGATACATTTGCATTTTCTCTGTTACAAACAAAGATGATAAATGTCTGCTAATCTACCTTCAGAGCTGTGATTTGTCACAACAGATTTTGGCAACTGCACAGTGTGACAGCTGGGATGAAAACACGTCTGTGAGGCATTCAGAAACCTCTGGCTTCAGATAGAAGCTATTGTTTATTTGCAGATTCACTAGCCGAAAGGGCTTGAAATGTAAAAGCATAAAAGGAATAGAGATAATTAGGACAAAAAGCCCTTACAGAATACTAAACATACACGGTAGGATGGTGTTCT